AGGTCAGCTGGGAATAATCAGGTTTCTGCCTTTGTCTTTTGCATGGAGCAATGCCTGTAAGGCATCTCAGGGTCTCTGCGTCACACACACGGGCTGGGGGGGGAATTGCCATTAATGCCTGGGAACGTGTCTTGGTTTTTCTCTTAATCTCTTATCACAAGATTAGCTAATGTCTGTAAAGCCCAGGAGGATTGGGTAATGATAAGGGATCATCAGGAGAGATGGAAAGATATGTATTGTTCTCTAAGAAGCCATTAGGGTTTCTTCTGAAATAATTATCTCCTCCTCTCTGCAAGGCTCTTCTCACACAGACCCCCACCCCAGAGGCCCCTGGAGCTCCCCTGAGTCTCCCACCTGCGATGGGGCACAGCAGAGCAACAGAGGGGAACTTGGTGCCTGGATCTCCTCACCCTGTGGAGATGGTGCTGGGTGTGAGTGTGAGCAACCCACACCCCCCTGCTCAGCCTGGGCCATCAGGGCTTGCACAGCCCCTGCAGCCTCTGGCTCCAGGATCCCAAGTGCCGTGTGGGGCTGGAGATCATCCTCCTTGTGTGGAGCATCATCAGCCCCTCTGGTAGAGGTGGATTTTAGATTCCACTTTTCCTTTTCCCTGCTCCACAGAGGGCTGAAGGAGCAGAGCAAACATCCTGCTGGGTGTCTGTGCCTCAGTGCATGGAGCAGTTGGGCAGTCGCAGGCGATGGAGCAGTTTGAGACATTCCTTTCTATCAGCTGCTCATAACCTGTCTCATCTGAGACAGTCACCCACAGTGTGTGTACATTCCCAGCTGTTCCAGTGGAAAATGAGACTGATTCCTCTAATCTGCCTCTCCCCATGACTACAGCTCAGGGCTCCCTGGGGCAATTATTTCTTTAGAGCTGATGCTTTGGAGAACAATCTTTCATACCCCGCAAAGCAAGTGTCAGGTCTCCAGCAGAGCAGGAAGGGCAGAAGCAGCCATCCTAAAACAGCTGGTGGTTTGGAACTGAGGAATTGGAAATGGGTTCAAGGTTTCCTTCACATTTTGGTGGTTGCAACACAGGCCATAAAGGAGAGGGGTTGGAAAAGCAGACTCCCAAACCACAGCACCTTCTGGGTTAGATTTGGGCTATCCCCTCTTCCAGAGAGGACCGGGGACTCCAGCACATGGGAGATGAGGCCAGTCCTGCTGGTTCTCCTTCCTCCTGCTCTTCTTGCTGTTATGAGCACGGTTACCTTGGATTCACTCTTTAGAGACTCTGTGCTGCTGACTATCCAGTTCATTATCTGCTTGTAATTGTTTTGTCTTCTCTGATCTTTTGTTCACCTGTGATGAGTCTACAATCAGATTTGCTCTGCTCTGAGTTACAGGTCTTTTGAACCCTGACTGATTAAAGTTTCTTCCTTCTTCAAATAAATTGGTTCCCATAGAGCTGTCCACTAGTGTGGCTCCCTTCACTATCTGAATCACATCTTCTCAGCTGACAGATGGATTGCTCGAGGGTTTGTGGTGGTTGTGCCAGCCTTAGAACTTTGGGTGTGATTGTGTTCCCAACCTGGTCATCTTGCTTTTGTTGCTTTCTGGCATATTTCTTTTTCCACTCTATATATTTGTGACTGATGTCCAGCCTTCAGCCCGGCCCTTCTCATCCTGCTGGAGCGCCAGCTATGAGGGACTGTTACTGTTACCTATGAGCTGAGTTGCATTTTTGTAGCTCCTTCCTGGCTGACATTAGTGTGAGGAGCTCCCCCAACCTTCACTTCAGTTCAGTGAGGAATGGATCCCTGAAGAGGAGCTGAAACCTGCAAGTCACTGCACCATTGCACCTGAGCATTTTTATTCTTGTACATAAATGTACAGAGAACAGCGCAACCCAAAGAGAATTTGGAGGATTATGCTTGAGAGACTGTGCTGAAAGGGGTGATGAGTACAGATGAGGTGAGGCCAATGAACCCAGAGCCCTACCTGTGCCCCGTGCAGCCTGGAAATCCCTGCCTGGTACCTCTGCAAGGGCTGGGATGACAGTTCACATGTGCGCAGCTCAGCGAGGATGGGTTAAACTCAGCTTCATTATGTTCAGAGGCTTCTGCAGCCCTTGCCTAGCTAACAAAAATGCTTGGGAATTTGGCCAGTAACCATGTTAATTGGCTAGTATGCTTGGTATTTATTTGAATGTTAATTTGAACAGAAATCGATTAAAAAAACCACCAACTTCTTAGTATGAAACTGAATAATGAAGCAGTAGTAGAATCAGACATTTTTAGCAGGAAGAAATGCTTTTTTATTACTTAAAACAAGCTTAAATTAACAACTGCAGATAATGATTCCCTGGAGCTAGATAAGGGGTTAAGGATCATTACTCTCAGTGATGACAGGCTACTCACTAAATTTGGTGAGTTATGTTTGGAGTTGAGGTTTTATAGCTCAGATATATTGTCTCCAAGTGAGTGAGACTTGGTTGACTGGCAAGCCAAATGACGCACAAGTTGACCTGAAGAATAGCTTTCCCCCCTTAGCCTCCATTGGGTAAATGATGTTTGGAAACCACCAGCTATGTGAAAAATTATAAAAATCATATTATTTGAAGAAGTGGAAAAGATGAGTGCAATCTGGAGACAAAGGATCTTGTGTTCCAGGTTTTTGGCAGAGGAGCTGAGTGCTGATGTCATTTCAGACGCTGCTGTTGCTCATTGTGGCTTTGGGAAGTGAGGAGAGTGACACTTGTTTTGGAAAGACAGGTCTGGAGCATGTGGGATCATGTACCAAAACCCATGATGACAAGAACAGACTGAGGGTGTTCCTGGTCCTTGCTGATCCATCTCCTCCCCACGGGCACACTGCACTCCTCTGATGTGGCTCTGCGTGTGCGATGCGGATTGTGGAACTGATCTGGCTGAACATCAGCTCAGCACAGAAAGAGTTTGGTTTTCTTCTCAGCTGATCCACTTTCCCAGCCCTTTCCTCAGCCTGCCCACACACCTGGATGGGTCAGCACGGTGCAGGATAATGAGAGGACAGGGATGAAGAGCCTAGATGCAGTTGGGTGAATTTGCCACTGAAGGGTCCATCAACCAAAGCCATAGCTCAGTTCTCTCGTTGCCTGAATATGCGTTAGAGCAAAGCGATGCTCCCCACTGCTTTCCAGAGGGTTCAGTGTCAATGGATTAGACGTGCACTTAGATTAGAAGTGGGATTTCAGTGGAGTTCTACCTCAATAGCAGCTTTGTGAGACAAGATGAGAGTCAGTTTGTGATGAAAAGCTAAAAATATCAAACAACTCTGGCAAAATGAGGATGGCCGGTTACGGCAAACCTTCGTGGAGACATTTGTCCCGGCACAGGGTGCCTGTGGCCAGCCCAGAACAGGTTCCAGAGTCCAGCAGCAGGGCACCAAAAAATCCTAGAATCACTTAGAATCAGTCACATTTTCATCCAAATGTAACAGAGGGAAAGTTTCTTTCATGTCTCTGGTATATTTAATGGTGTCTGAGCTTAAAATAAACCTACTAAAGGCTCAGCTTCACCTTGGATTGCAGCTCCTCTGTAATCATTTCCATTGGTAAGAGTGGTGTAATTCACATTTCATTTATGCCCACGCCACGACACAGGCAGCAGCAGGGGAATGTGGCCTCTTTTCTCACTAGAAACTCTGATGTTTCCAGCTCCAAGTGTAATTGGATACCGTGTCAGGGTTTTGTGAGTTTTGTTTGCCTCTACTTAGAAGAACAAAAAGTAATTCCTAAGTGAAACTAGCAGTAAAAACAGAGCCATTTGCATTGAAACTTCCATTTACAGATGTGGTTAAAGCTGCCTGCTTTGCTGTGCACGTGGGGTTGGGGTACCCCAAACAGATCATGTGTGCACAGCCACAGAAATGAGCTGGGGCAATAGAACACCCAGCCAGGGATTGCTCCCATGGTACTCCCATGCCCATGGGCTGCACATTATATGTTATTTGGCCTGGAAATATTTGTGAGGGGACCCTTATCCCTCCTAGTATTTACTGGGGTCTGTCTCACTCTAAACATTCCCTGTTGCTGCTGTTAGATATAAACCAACCCGGGTAAATCCAGTGCAGACAAGGATATGCCAGAGAAATACAGACTAAAGCCTGTCAGATTTATTTTTATTTATGTCGATTTCTACACACATAAAGCAGCTCTGCAAGACTTTGAAGGAGCCAGGGAGATTCATGTTGTATCCCCCCATACCCTCAGGAGCTGCATGCAAAGATACACACTGGGTTTTGACAGCAAGGATTGAGCCCACAGCCTCAGGTTAAAGCTAAATTATTTGAGCAAGAGAAACAATCCACAGACTGTGAAAAACAGCTTAAAGTCACTCATATCTGAAAGATAGAAAGCTAGAGCCAGTGCTTACTGAAGCCAGTGGGTGTGGGTTACTGAAGCAGTGGGTTTGGCTGCCAGATGACCAGTTCCCACCTGGCAGGTATGCAGGAGACAAGGGCTGCTCCAGACACAAGTGTCTAAGACCCATCTGTGGTTGCATGTCTAAAGCAGAGTTCTCACTCCATTACATTTCAAGGAACAAACTGTCCTCATCCTCCTTCCTTCCTTGCTTCAGCCTGTGGGAAGGGGGCTGGCTCTTCCAACAATACTTACCCCAACCTTGTTTTCATGTGCACAAGTAATTCCGTTTCAGAGAAAGGCTTCTGGACTTGTTCCCTGTCCAGCAGTCTGATAGTGGTGATTTATTGGTGAGATACAGAACTATTCCTGTCTTATCAACTTGGAGCAAAATGCTCAGGAGCTGCTGTTTCTCAGGTCCAAGTGGATTCATAGCTGAGGGAGCCATGGCCTCTCCTGGCAGTCTGGGGTACTTTGCTAATCCCATGGGATTCATCTGTAGCTCATGCTGTTTTTCCCAGACCTAGGACTGCAACCATTTCATGTCTTGGGGCAGGAATAAAGACTGTCTTTCTCAGTAAAAATAACCCTGCATTACCTACAGTGCCTCTGACTCAAAATCTCCCTCTTTTAATTCCTGCTTCCTTCTCTTCAGGGTCATCCAGAAGACCACCAGTGGATCCTGGATTCTCTGCAGACACCTGCTGAGGCTGAGCTGTCAGCTCTGGATCCCCTGGCAGTTCCAGAGCCCCTGTGTCCAGGAGGAGGATGCTGGCTGAGCAGGCACAGCTCCAGGTAAGTGCTGGGAGCACAGGCATAATGTCTCTGCTCTCTGGCTAGCACTCACACTTCCTCTCCTTCTAATCCCATGGCTAATGCTTCCTTTATTTGCTCATGGGTAAAGTCCTTGACATCGCTCCACTGAATTATGGTTTAATTGTGTGAGCTTCCCTGTTAATGCCATTCACTGACATAAGGCTTAGTATAGAATGTTGATTTCCTGGTTGCCTGTAATTGTAGTAGTGATGCTCCATAGCCATATGACAGTGACTGACTTTGGGCAGGAGGATTAGAGTAGGTGACACTCCAGACTTCAAATCCCATGTGAACAGAAACAGGCAGTTCTCCAGTCAGTGATGAAGGTGGGGAAATTGAGGCAGAGGACAGCTGAAGTTGATTCTCTGTTAGCAGTGTGGGGGAGAGAAGGAAAACATGGGATTTTCTCCTCAAAAAGTCCCTTGGACTTTTTTTTTTTTCCCCAAAGAAATAATTTCTTTATTTTCTTTCCAAAAAGTCGCATGAAAGGACAAGTTTTTAATTTCAGAAACATATGATTTTAGGATCTTTCTGAAAGCCCCAAATGAAAGTCGAGCAGTCTGGACACAACTTTTCAATACTTTGAAATGAATGACTAATGTTAAGTATTACAGTCACTGACTACTTGGGAAGAGAGATCAGGTTCCTGAATCTGCAGAGGCCTGGAGAAGCCACACATCATCCCCATTCCTGGAAGGGCTCAAGGCCAGGTTGGATGTGGCTTTGAGCAACCTGGTCTACTGGAAGGTGTCCCTGCCCATGGGAAAGGCTGGAACAAGATGATATTTAAAGTCCCTTCCAACCTGGACCATTTCATGATTCTGTTAAATGTCCTGTGTCCCAACTGTGCCAGCAGGATTAGAAATCCTGAGGCTGAGGGGAGGCATCACCCTGGGGACAGGGTGCCACTGAGAACATTTTGGGGTAAAGATCTGCAGCAAAGACCCTTTTTTTGAGCATTTTTCTGCCCCTCCTTCAGGCCAGGCCTCTACAGCCCACTCAGAAGAGCTGTGTGTGTGTGTCTGGGGCTGCACTGGTGTTGAGATGCCTGATGGAGAGGATATGTTTCTCCATTAGAATTTACTGACAGCAAAGTGACTTCCACTTTGCTGGTAGTTCCACATCCCCTGTGGTTAAGAGGACTTTGGAGGTTAAAGTCTGTCACGTCTGGATCAAGGTCAGGGGACCTGCTTTTGATTCTAAAGATTTTAATTAACTTTGCACCACATAGAACCTGGGCATGCTTGAAAAGAAATATAGATAAATTTTACATTTAAATATTTGAATAGTGTCTATATATTATGGCAGAGGTAAAAAGCTCTGTTCGGGCAGACTGCAGGAAGAGAAGAGATTTGCATAGCAGAATAATTGGTTTTGCAAATAAATCTGGTTCTTGAAATTTGTAGATTAGCAATAATATGTCTCCAGATGAGAAGGAAAGGTCATGGATGAATAAAGCAACAATTAAACTTTCAGGAGATTATTAAACTAAACACAAACCTGGCTAAATGTGTATGAGAGAATGTCAATAAAGGACAGGAGTGGCCTGTCAGGACTTGTGAGCCTCCAGGATATTAATGTTACTTGGAGATCATTTCTTCCCATGCAGCTTCTCTTCTTGAAGAGAATTTTGCAGATTCCTCCCTAATCTGGACAATCCATTAAATAACCCAGTTAATTTAAGCCATTTAAATCCAATCAGGCTGGTGTGTAATGCTATAAAACTCTAAACAAAATCCTTGGAGAATTACCACGTTAACTGTTGCCCTGCAGGCTCCATCCATGCCTGATGCTGGCGAAAAGTTGCCTCACAGGGAGACAGGTCTCAGCACAGGAGAGGGAATACTGAAGTTGTAGAAAGGTGGGGTTTGTTCTGAGTCTAAAAGAACGAAACTAAAAAGCAGTACTTTCCAAATGGAGCATGAAATAGATCTTTTATGACAAGGGGAATGAAGGGTGGTGGAAATCCTCATTTCAAAGTATTGAAAAGTTGTGTCCAGACCACCCCCTCAACTTTAGTTTGAGGCTTTCAGAAAGATCCTAAAATCAAATGATCCTGAAACTAGAAACTTGTCCTTTCGTGGGACTTTTTTGCAAAAAAAATAAAGATATTATTTCTTTGGAGAAACAATTTAAAAGTCCCAGGGTTTTTTTGAGGAGAATGTTCCATGTTCTCCTTTTGTCCTGCGCCTCTGCTAACAGAGAGGGAGGCACAGGGCTGACCACACTCCAGACACCTTCAAATCCTCAGAGCTTCCTCCCACAGCTGGATCTGGAAGAAAGCAGATGCATGAGGTGGTGAGGGGGGAAGGCCATGTCCACCTTCTCCTATCTTGGAGCTCCACAGAGATCCAAGTCCTTGGTGCTCAGCACTGTGTGAGCAGGAGGAATCACGCATGTTCTCCAGCCTGGTGCACCAAAGATGAAACCTTCAGCAGGATGTGACTCCCTGGGTTGTTACCTGTCCTCACCTGCCAGAGCACCACTGCTTCCCAGGGGAAAGTAGGAGCAGAGAAAAGGGAATCTTTCAATGACTTTTAATTCCCTCTCTCTCCCAGATCTCAGGAGGGGGATAGGAGTGAAGACAAGGTGGAAAAATAAGGCTCCCAGTGGATTTTACTGGACCAAGGCTCAGCCATTACCAAGCTTTCCCAAGCCCGGTGCCCTTGGGATTGGGAAACCTTCTCTTCCAAGCCATTTGCACCTGAGGAAAGCAGAAGCCACACTCAGAAATCAGCAGTGCTACATCAAGCTGATGTTGCCATGGCCAGGAACTGCCTCTATTAAAGATGCTTCTGAAGGAGGTGCCGCAGTCTTTCAGCAGAAAGGAGAGGTTGCAAGGGACAATTCTGTGTAAGGGGGAAAAGGTTCCCCTAATAACTTACTTCCTGAGTGGATACAGAGACAGAAGTCTCCATCTGCCCAAAAGTTCCTGGAGGAGCAATCCTGTGAATCAAAAATGGTCTTTGTTACCGTTTTTCTAAACTATAGCAGAGCTGGATCCCTTCAGTTCTACTATCACTTGCCACTTTCTGCCAAGTTTCAGAAGCTGAAGACAAAAGAGATTTTATTTTCCCTCCCTCAGTCCTTGGGTGAGAGCCATCAGAAAGCAAACAAGGCAGAGTTGTTGACGCAAAAATTGTCAACACTTGCCAGGTGAGTGTGTTGAAGCTTGGTCAGGTGTGAAGCAGGATTTGGTGGAGAAGGTGTTTCGTTCTTAGTCCCTGAAGAACACCCACTGCTGGGGGCACTTGGGGCACCGCAAGATCAGGAGGATCCAAAGCTGTTGGAGAGTGTCCAGAGGAGGGACATGGAGCTGGGGAAGGCTCTGAGGAGCAGCTGAGGGCACTCAGCTCCTTCAGCTGGAGCAGAGGAGACTGAGGGGAGGCTCCTTGGGGGCTGCAGCTCCTCCCGAGGGGAGGTGGAGGGGCAGTGGCTGAGCTCTGCTCTGGGACAGGGACAGGAGCCCAGGAAGGGCTGGAGCTGTGCCAGGGCTTGGGATGGATCTCAGGGCAAGGTTCTTCCCCCCGAGGCTGCTGGCACTGCCCAGGCTCCCCAGGGAATGGGCCCGGCCCCAAGGCTGCCAGAGCTCCAGGAGCGTTTGGACAGCGCTCTCAGGGATGCTCAGGGTGGGCTTGTTGGGGGGTCTGGGCAGCACCAGGGGCTGCACTGCATGACCCATGTGGGTCCCTTCCAACTCAGAGTATTCCATAATTCTATGACCCACACACAGCCCCAAGAATCAGAGGCTGTTTTTGGAAATGTTCACGTGTGAATCAAGGCCTCTTAGTGTGTTACTTTTGCATCAGCTGGGAAACCATAAGGAGGTTTTCATAACCATCATTAGGAATTTGCTTTAGGAAAAATATACTGAGAGTCAGTGTGGCTTGTTAGATAGCCAGACTGTGAGACAGCTGGGCTGAGGGCAGCATGGAAATTGCTCTTCTGGCTAAGGACTGCAGCTGAGTGAGAAATCTCTAATTTGTTTCATGGCTTTAACTGGAGGAGTGATGGGTATGGGCAGAAGCCACCTGAATCAAAGTTTTTTCCATTATCCCTTGGCCAAGTAGAAGTAATTGGCCTCAAAGAACTGTGTTTGTTCCCCATCAAAACAAAGGATTCTGTTACTTTCTTGGATGCATTTACCCTGTTATTGCAGTTCCAAACAAAATGCCCTTTTTTCAAAGCAAAGTATTGAGAAGATTTTGTTCTGGTTGCTTCAAAAAAGGAACTGTTCCACACTTCCATTTTTGACCTAAGTGCATGAGCAGTTCTTGCTGACCTGCAACCCAAAATGTATTTTTTTCAGTAAGTGGGGAAAAAACCCCAGGCAGTCTCTGAGGGATTAAAGGTTTGGCCAAGACTGAGTAATTGTTCCATCAAAACATTGGATGAGAGATGCTGTCAGAGAACCTCCCATTTCTTTGGCTGAGGGTCTTCCCTTTTGTGTTTTGTTTTCCTGTTTGTACCTGGGTGTGGAAGCAGTGGCAGACACAGCAATGTCGGGGCATTTCATAAGGAGCAAACTACCTCTATCCCCACCATCCCTCCCCCTGCCCTGGATGTGACACTCCCTGGGGCTCCCTGGAGTTCCTGTAAATCCCAGGAGGTCTGATGCCCCAGTCTGAGGCTGGTGGGCTGCCACCGAAGATGTGATTTTGGGCTGGCTTCAGTGAATTTGTTACTTCTGGGGCAGACCTTCCTTGCCATGGCAGGTGGAAATCCATCAGTGCTCATTGCTGGGCTCCCCCTTACCTTTCTGCTTCTTTCTTTCTTTTGCAAACCCACAGACAAAGCCCAGTGTGTGACCCCAGGGGTTTTGCCTGGGTGTTGGTGACAGCAGGTCTGGCAGCAGAAGGGCTGTAGCACGTGTTGTTTCTCCTTGAGTTGGCAGAGTGGTAGCAAGAGACAAGCCTTTGAAAAGCATAACAGCCTTCCAGGGAAACACAACAGGGATCACTGCTGCTGTTTGAGGTGCTGCATTCTCCATTGCACACTGGCAGGGAACGTGTGGGCAAGCCCAGGGGCCCAGCGCCACCAAGGAGAGCTCCAAGTCAAGGATCATCATCTGATTAGTCCATGCAACACTTAGCAGGGTTATTTTTATCTCAGGCCCTTCAGAAGATACATAATCATTCCACCTTAAGTCTTTCAAAACTTGGTCTCTATGGAAACCCTGATATAAACGACTGCTCGTTTCATTTCAGAACGTCTGAGCTGTGCTGCAGCCTCCCTGTGTGTGTGGCCACACATCCCTGTGTACACACCCACCCCTCGCTGATCTGCATTCTTTCCTGCTGGTCTTTCTCTCCACCCTTCACATAACAGCACTTGGGGTTTATTTCTTCCAAGCACTGCATATTTAGACCTGCAAACCTCTAAGGAATCTTTGTTTCCAAACTGGAGGGAGGTGGGAGTGAGAGGGAAGGTAGAAACCTTTGTGATGCTCAAGCTGATGTTCAGCTTGCTCATGTGGGATTTGGGCAGAAACCTGTAGTATGCTGCTCATGGCTCCCTGAGCCATCTAAAAAGAGTTTAAGGTGTGGAAAAGCCACTTTTCTGATAATCCTCTCATATTCATGAGCAGTTGTTACTGATTTCTCTGTATTTCGCTTGTGAACACAAGAGGGCCACGTTTGGTGGAGAAAAGAGGCTACAGGGGAAGGGAAGGGAACTGTCTGGAAGAAACATTGAGCTTAAGTACTTGAGATGGTTGGGCTGGGGTAGGATGCAGTGCCTGACTGATGATTAGCTACACCCAAGGCACAACAGCATCAGTCCCTTCTTCCCTTCTGCTGTTCTGCTCCTCTGTCAGTCCCTCCACTGAGGCAGATGAATACATTTTGGATTTAACAAACCTGTCCTCCCAGCACTCATGGACGTCATCTCTTTTCTCTGAAGTGGGAAACTGAAGCACTGGCAAGTTGCAGTTTTAATCCACTACAGGACAAAAAATTAGCCTTAGAATATTTTTTTTAAGCAGCTGACTTATGGATAGTGACCTACAACAGTGTTGAGTTGCCTCAGATCTCATGAGTGTGCCATGGGGAGATTTTCCTCTCTGCTCCAGGAAGATCTCTGCTTTTTGTAGATGCCTGCATTTTCTTCATGCTGGGATAGCTGTGAGGGGTCAGGGATAGGGGTGGGACATGCAGGGGTGTTGAGCAGGCTGGGAAGGTGGCAGCCGGGCTCTGAAGCAGGGCCAGCTGCAGCAGGCAGCTGTGCAGCCACTGCTCTACCGTGGGAGTAACTGCACAGCAGTGACACAGCAGGCACCAGCCCCGGCTGGCCCAGTCACCCTCTCCTCTCTCCTTGTTAAATCTGTCTGCTGCTCTCTGGGAAGGAGACTACTGAATACAGCAGTGACTTCTGTGAACTGCTGGGTTTGTTAAATCTGCTTCCATGTGCCTCCTGGAGAACACTCTGCTTCTCCGTCCATGCTAGTAGGAAAGGGTATCACGGGGTAGTAGAGCTCCACCCTGTATCTGCTCAATGCTTGTGTTAATGTGAGATGTCTCTGCCTGCACCATGTGGTGCTGCTGAGCAGGAATGAGGCTGAGAGCTGGAGAAAACCCTCCGAGAAGAAACCAGAACTGAATCCCTTTGATCAGTGGCAGCATTCTCCAAGGACAGCTTATTCCTAAGAACTCCGCCTCCAAGCCTTCAGCTAATTCCCAGTTTCTCCCCTGTCCTTCTACCCTTCCAGGCCAGCTGAATGGCTGCAGGACATCCAGGGAGATGCTGGCTTCCTCACCATTCTCCCTGTTGCAGTCTCCTCTTTGGGAAAGTTTCACAGCTTCTCCAGCAGTTTTAGCTGTGCCCTCATTTCAGTGTCCCATTTGCTGACAAGTCCATAAGGACCTGACTGCCACCACCCCCAGAAGGCTGATAGTGAAGAGTATGGCCCACTCCTGCAGGCAGAGGAGGCTGGTTCGCATGCTCAGTATAAAAGGCAATTTCATTAATTTGCAGCCCTGGCTGGGAACCAGAGCTGGCACCAGAGATTGTTTTTATGAGTAACACCCTGGCAAAATAGAACTGGTAGCAGCTTGGGTGGGATTTATATTTAATCTGTCCCCTCTCATTCTTGGATTGGCAAAGTGGAAGGTGCAGAGTGGTTGCCTGTTGCCCACTGAGGGTGCCCTGGGTCACAGCAGGATGCCTGGCACACGACCGTGCTGTGGTCCCATGCTCTGCAGGGCCAACAAGTCACCAGCTGGCACAGAGGCAGGGTGTAGGGTCTTTGTATCACATTCCATGTGGACTGCTGGCATGCCAGACACTCAGAATCACAGAGTCGTTAAGGTTGGAAAAGATCTCCGAGATCATCAAGTTCAAGCTTTGACCTAATCCCACTAATGATACCACAAAGTGCTACAGATACTGTCTCTCGAACAAAAGTGCCTTGCTGACTAGGGTGTAATGAAAAAACCTAGAAAATGAGAGGTTTTTAAGAAACAGGTAAAATGAGATCACCTTCAAATTCCCTTCAGTTAATGCACTGGGCTGGTATCTGTTTGTTGTCTGCAGAGCCCTACAGAGCTTGCAGCCGTTTCAGAGTAGGCAGTGTTTGGTCTTCTACACAATTAGAAGAAACTGGAATAGTAATACCAAAGACTTCACAGAGACATTCAACCTCTCAGCACAAACTCTTCATCTGTGAAGAAATCCTGGCTTGTGCCTATCTCAGGGGTGTCTAGGCAGCATCCAGAAATCACTGCTTACAGTTTTCTGTTGTGAGCACAAATGCCACTTGTTGCTGAAGCACAAAAGCGCAGCAGAGATTAAACTTCAGAGCTTGCGCAAAAAGTCCCTTCCTTGGCTTCTGCTGCTGCAGCAGGCTCAGTTTCTCAGGCTGAATGAGCTTTTCCAAGCTGCCAGAGTTATTTAGGAGCTCACAGGTAAGTTCATAGAGTGCAGCAAGTTGTGCACCATCTCCTTTGTGCAGCCATGCTGCAAGGCAAGGGGAGTTAGCTGAGGTTTAAGCCAGGGGCAGCTTCCAAGCTGCCAGATCAGGGCTAAGACATTTTCTGGCCTAGAAAAGGGGGCACCCAGCATGACCCTTTGCTCTGACTCCAAAAACATGCCCTAATCCCACAAAAGCCCTTACAACCCCAGCAGGATTTTCCATGCTGGTCTCCAGTGGGATGAATGCTCTCACTGAATCTGGCTGGAAAGCTTTTCTTCCAAGAACCTTATTCTGAGTGAGAAAAATGGCATGTGCTGTTCTCCAAGGCAAGGTTTCTTAATTTGAGCTTTAATTAGAAGAGGGAGAAATTAAGGTAAGAAGTGGGGAAAACTC